CCCCCCCCCCCCCCCCCCCCCCCCCCTCCCGGGTTTTGGGGGGGTAAGGAGGGAAAGAGGGAGGTTTTCACCTCCTGAAACCCATCCAACACGCCGCCAGGGTCGGCGGACCCTAAACCCTAAACCCTAAACCCTAAACCCTAAACCCTAAACCCTAAACCCTAAACCCTAAACCCTAAACCCTAAACCCTAAACCCTAAACCCTAAACCTCCAAGCGCAAAGCCCCAAAACATGCACGCCCCAAGTCGAAGCCCAGGAAGCAGGAGAAGGAGGATGTCCAGCGCGCGGCAAAGGCCGCGATGGCCGCGGCCCAGGTCGCAGGGTTTAGGGTTTAGGGTTTAGGGTTTAGGGTTTATAGGGTTTAGGGTTGTGTTGTGGATCTTGGGATGTTCACCCACATACTAACAGTCCTTAATCGGGGTTCGAATAGGGGGTACTACAATCCCTTGGTTCTTAGTAGGGCATGAGGGAATGAGGGCCTATATATACCCTTCAAGGGATTATGTAAGGCCCTTCCCTACCAGCCAGATAATCCCTGTTAAGGACAGTTAGTATAAGGGGGAACATCCCAAAATGGATCTTCAGACTGCGAAAAACTAGTTTTTCTTCGAACATCCCCCACCCTGCAGGTGAGGAATTTGCGGGCTCACTCTGGGTTTGGGGTTTAGGGTTTTGGGTTTACAATGCTCTGTGGTTGGGCACTCTGGGATTCCCTGACAACACTCTGGGGTGGTGATACGAGTGATGGGCGAGGAGCAGACCGGACGAGGAGAAGAGTGAAGTTTAAAAGCCTGGCCACTCCCATAAACCCTAAACCCTACCCCAAACCCTAGACACCCGAAACCCCAAACCCCAAACCCTAAACCCTAAACCCCTAAACCCCTAAACCCCTAAACCCTAAACCCTAAACCCTAAACCCTAAGCCCTAAGCCCTAAGCCCTAAGCCCTAAACCCTAAACCCAGACCCGAAGCCCCTTAAAGCCCCCTTTTCTAAAAAAAAAACAAGCATGCCAGGAGGAGGCCATGGCTGGGCCCAGCGCAGCGGTGCCGTCGAACAACTCCTTCGTCTCCTTTGACGACATGGGCGGCCCGGAGGTTTTACAGTTTTTCGGGGTTCAGGGTTTGGGGTTTAGGGTTTAGGGTTTAGGGTCTAGGGTTTAGGGTTTAGGGTTTAGGGTTTCCGGAGGATTGGAGATTTTCGGGGTTCAGGGTTTGGGGTGCAGGGTTTAGGGGTGTAGGGTTTGGGGTTTAGGGTTTAGGGTTTAGGGTTAGGGGTTTAGGGTTTAGGGCTAGTTTTTTTTAGGGGTTTAGGGGTTTAGGCGGGTTTAGGGGTTTGGGGGCATGGCTCTCAGAAGACCGGGCTCAAAAGGGGGTCCAGGGTTCAGAGGTTTAGGGGTTTAGGGTTTGGGGTTAAGGGTTAGGGTTGAGGGTTTTGACGGTTTGAGAAGGGTTTCAGGTTTTTGGGGTTTCCCGCGTTTAGGGTTTGAGGGTTTCGAGGGTTTTGAGTGTTTAAGGTTAGGTGTAGCGGTTTAAGGGTTTAAGGCTCAAAGGGTCTAAGGTTTTCAGGGTTTAAGGGTTCAATGGTTTAAGGGTTTAGGGGTTTCTGGGTGTAGGCGTTGAAAGGTTTACGGGCTTAAGGGTTGAAGGGTTGAAGGGTTGAAGGGTGTAGGATGTCAGGGTTTTGGAGTTAGGGTTCGGAGGGGTTTGGGGGGGGGGGGGGTTGCGCTTGCAGGTTCATGGGTGGTTAGGGTTATAAGCAAGGCGCTCATCCTACTTATAACTCTACTTGTAAGTACCCACGAAGTTTCAAGCAGCTGTCTTAGGGTAGCTGCAAGGGCTCTTGGTTCAGAACCATTTTGACAGCAAACGCTTTTTGGGAACCTAGGCTCACCGCAAGCCCAAAAACTCGAAACCCTAAACTTGGGACGTTCCCCCTTATACTAACAGTCCCTACTACGGACTATAAGAGGGGGTACTATATTCCCTCCTGTTGGTATAAGGGGAACATCCCAACCCTAAACCCCAAAATCCCAAAGCGGCTTCTCGAACCTGGTAGTAGTCCCAGGCCCTTTTCTCACCACATAGCTCCAAACCAAACTGCCAGGCGCGAGACGGCCATGGAAAAGCTTGCAAGCCTCCAGCCAAGCCAGACATCCCAGGGTATAGGGTTTAGGGTCTAGGGTATAGGGTTGAGGGTTTAGGGTTTAGGGCTTAGGTCCTTTCGAGCTTTCAACCTTGCCTAGGCAAGTCCTGGAGCGCCAGCGCACCCTACGGCAGGCGTGGGGGGTACTCTCATGGTTTTTTTGGGGGTTTAGGGGAGGGGCTGTTGCGGAGCTGAGCTTGCTGTGGCAGGAGGGCTTGTGGTCACGGTTTTGGGTTGGTCCATGGGGCTAAAATTAGGGTTTAGGGTTGAGGGCTCAGCCTAAGATCCTTGATCACTGCAGTCGGAGATGCTTTGAACATGTTGAACATCAATTGACGGGGCTTATGTCCTGGCATCCGAAATAATTATAAACCCCCCCCCCACCAAAACTCAACGCTGAAATCTCTTGCACACACACCTCCTTACTTGGAGGTTCATGGGTAGGTAAAAGTAGGGTTATAAGTAGGCTAACTATACCCTAAACCCAAACCCTAAACCCTAGGGCACTTGCAACCCTACTTCCAACTACCCATGAAGCTGCAAGTACTCGATGGGAGGCCCATGGAGGAGCGAGCTGATGGCAGTGGCAGGGCTGCAGGGGTTAGGGTTTAGGGTTTAGGGTTTAGGGTTTAGGGTTTAGGGTTTAGGGTCAGAGGTTCTTTCATCTTTTGGATGTGGGTTTGCCGGGTTTGCGGGTTCTGGAACAGCATATGGGTACTTCTCTTCAGGATTGAGGGTTCAGGGTCCACGATTGAAGAACACTTAGTCATGCTCAGGAATCTCCATTACGATATGTTGCGAGATGATCCTCTTGTCCTCGTGTTTGAGACTGTGCCTGTTGATTGGCTTGCTAGAGCATGGGAGTCCAGTCAGCAGCACGGGAAGCCTGTGCTTGGGCAGTTTCTGCCCAAGCACCCACGGGAGTCCGGATGCCAAAAGGGTCCATAGTTTGAGGGTGACTGACCCCTTGTATAGGGGACCCAGAAAAGGGGCCCTCATTTAGAAAACTACGCCATGTATGTAAGAACGCGGTAAGGCTTGGCGCCCAAGACGCCTTCTTGCCAGCGTAGAATGTGTTCAACGAGAATCGGGGACAGGAGGTCTCAGATCTCAACCCTGAACCCTAAACTAAACCCTAAACCCTAAACCCTAAACCCTAAACCCTAAACCCTAAACCCTAAACCCTAAACCCTAAACCCTAAACCCTAAACCCTAAACCCTAAACCCTAAACCAACCCCAACCCCTAAACCCTAGACCCTAAACCCTAGACCCCTTGCGTTTATGGACCACTTCTGACGGCCCCCAAACTCAGGGTTTAGGGGTTCAGAACATGAGCCCACGAAGTTACGAACAACCCCCCCAAAGAGCCCAATGCCCCTTAATTAAGGAAGATTCCTTAAATCATAATAAGGTCTATACCTTAATTAAGGGGTATTGGGCTCTTAGGGCCCTTGTATAAGCATAAGCAAAACTACGTACACAAAATACTACCCGCTCTACCTTCAACAGGCCCCTAGTTCGGGTTGCAGGGCGGCTTACTTCTTTGCGCCCCTAAGCCGAAAAACCCTAAACACTAAACCCTAAACCCGCAGGCGCGAGCAATTTCCAGCAGATGGGCATGGCAAATGCGATGAGAGCCAACGCAGGCGGGAACTGGGAGACCTGCGCTGGCTGGGTTTATAGGGCTTACTTGGAGGTTCATGGGTACTTATAAGAAGGGTCATAAGTAAAAAAAAGTTCCCGGAGTAAAGTTACAAGTATAGTTCCCCTACTTAGAACCCTACTTACAACTATCCATGAACCTACAAGTAGGGTTTCCGATTCAATGAATTGGGGTCCGGCATTTGGTTTGGGAGTTTTGACGTTGGGGGAACTAGCTTATTATCCGTGAAATGTGTCCTATGCACACGAGCCGGAGTGTCTCGCGGCAAAACTTCGAGGAAGGAGGCCGAACCAGGCTGTTCAGGAAGTTTCGAGGTTCGGAGTTGGTAAGGGTTTTGGGCTGTGTGAGGGTTGTGAAAGCTGTTTGCAGCAGAAGCTCTGAACCGGCCAGAGGCAGCCCCAACTCTCAGAAACTCACATGCCTGCCCTAAACTGCGCAGGGCTGCTAGATTGTGGCTGGTCTCCTGTACCCTAAACCCTAAACCCTAAACCCTAAACCCTAAACCCTAAACCCTACTCCTGGTTTGAGTCATCTGGGCCCGGAGGACCCGAAAACTATTGTCGCCGACAGGATCCCGCAGAGAAGCCCTGGACTGCCCACCCAAAGAATCCCTGGAGAGAAGCCCCCCAGACATCCCAACACCGTGTCACATGCACGGCACGTGTGTCTGGAGTGCCCAAACCGAAGTGGATGATTTTGACAGGCTGTTGCGTCGCTCTGGCCAATCGTAATGTGTAGCTTTTTGGATTCCACGTTACAGCATCTCGAAGTGCGTGGACTGTAGTTATAAGTACAGTAGTGTTATATGTAGGGTAACTATACTTAAAACTAAAACCTTACTCAAGGTGCTTCCCTTCCTACACATAACTACACATGAGCCTCTAAGTATACCCGAAGGCTTCCAGGCCTCATTGCTCGAAGGTTCATGGGTAGTTGTCAGTCGGGCATAAGTACTCTAAGTAAGGTCATACCCCCCCATCGAATTACCCATGGACCTCCAAGGAAAAACCTTTTTTGCAGGCCCGTGTGGCAACTTCTTCGCTGGCCCGGGCGATGCAAGCGCCTCCATGGGCAGCGGCTGTTTCGTGCCTTGGGGGCATGTAAATCGTGTTCTGATGTCGTATATATAGTACAAGTCTACTTCAACGCAACATAAAAACGAAATTAACATTATAGTGTCGTGCGAGTATGGTATTCTAATGCAACACATCTAATGTAACATAACCGCATGCGTGATGATGTAATCATATAGTCATATAGTAAGATAGTACCACAGTGATATAGAAATATAGTCATAGAGTCATATAGTCATATAGTAACATAGTCATATAGAAATATAATAGTATGGGTAATTTAGGAATATAGTACTAGAGTAGCATAGTAATATCGTACTATAGTAATAGAAATGGGGCTAAAACCCCCACAGCCTTAATCCCCCTAAACTGACGGTTTAGGCTTTAGGGTTTAGGGTTCTGGCAGCATTCAAAGGAGTCCAGATGCAAAAAAACGGGGTTGAGGCAAACGGGGTCTGGCGTTCAGGGCTCAAAGAGGTTGTGTTTCATGCATGGCTTTGGCATGCGTTGGAGAGTGTCAGTCGTTCTGCTCTGTCCTTGTATTTTGCCCGCTGGGAGGGAGGTGAATATGGGAGCTTAAAGAACTATCGGTCCAATACGATCACCATACAGTCCCTACAAATTCCATAATTCTGAAAACCTCGGCAAAGAGCAGGTTCAATGAAACGTGCCTATATTATGACATAAACGACTGCGAGGTGATACACCCCAGGAAACATGAGCGTTTGAGGTTTTGGGGTCTAAATAGGTTTTGGGTCGAAAATCTTGCTTATCTGGCAGTTTAATTCCACAACGCCTCAACACAGTGAAGATCCAAGCTTGGCTTCAGAAACACAAGCCCTCCCCCAAAACCCATACCCTAAAACCCGAAATCTGGATCCTCCAGTAGCTGCTGGAAGACGAGCCTGAACCCTAAACCCTAAACCCTAAAAACCCTGAACCCTAAACCCTACAGCCATGACGCGCACTGCACTGCGGTTGCATCAAGGCCACCACATGGCATGGCGAAGTATTGCTGTGCTTTGAAGGTGGCCGTTATCTAGATATCTCTGCGTACTAGCACACGTCCCATTTGCCTTGCGATCCGCTTTGCTACTGTACGCTCTACGACTGTTTCCAGCATGCCTTTCGACTACGCGCTGGACCATGATACTGCTGCAGTCTTACCTTTTGCCCTCCTCATTGCACTGTTGTTACAATGTATCTGGGCTGATCTAAAAGGTCATTCTGGGGAATCATTTAGGGCTCCTATGGCTCTACAAGAGGAAGAAGGTCCCTAAACCCCTGAACCCGCCCCCCCCCCCCCCCCCCCAACTCACTCCCAGGACCCCCTAAACCCAAAACCCTAAACCAAACCCTAAACCCTAAACCCTAAACCCTAAACCCTAAACCCTAAACCCTAAACCCTAAACCCTAAACCCTAAACCCTAAACCCTAAACCCTCCCCACCCACCCACCCCCACCACCCCCCCAACTTCACTCCCAGGGTGGCGCTGGATCCGACAGCTCCGACGCCACGCCGCTGAATCCGATGATGGCTTCCTGGCAGGTTTAGGGTTTAGGGTTTAGGGTTTAGGGTTTAGGGTTTACGGTTTAATTTAGGGTCTAGGGATTAGGGTTTAGGGCTTCGGGTTTAGAAGTGCTTTCTCCCAGAGGGGTGTTCTAGGTTGCAAAAAGGCTGCTGCTTGATCAAACCCTCATCGGGTGGGGCTTCATGGCGGCCATGAGGGAGTGGCGTGCATCCTGCGATGGTTCAGTCATTTAGGGTTTAGGGCTATGGTTGACGGTTTAGGGTTTAGGGTCTGCCACTGATTTGTTGTGTCCGAGGCTATGGCCCAGATGATGCTGGAGACACAGAAGAAGCTGAAAGAAGCCCAGGACCAGTTCCGATGCCCCCCCCCCCAAGCACCTTTCTTTAAATCTAGGCAGGAAATATGGTTTCATGTACTTCTACCAGTACACGCACGGACAGCAACCCTTCCTTGATCTTGCTTGCCCCCTCGTCAGCACACAAAGTGGGCGCAAGAACGCAACTCTCACTTTGGTATTCTGCCGTAGAGCAACCCGCAACCCTCAGCTTAAACCCGTACTGAACTGTCCTAAACCTGCAGGGTCCTCTTGCTTATGATTTATCATGTACTGGCAGGTTCAGGGGACTACCCATGAACCTTAAAGTATCCCGAAACACTAAGCCATAAACCCTAAACCCTAAACCCTAGTATACGTGCGCTTTCATCAGGGGGGACAAAGGGATGGCTTGCTGCCTCATCGGGCCCATTTGTGCCCAGCTTCCCAGTGCACGGGTTCTTCAGGGAGGAGGGTTTAGGGTTACCTAGGCCCCTGCTCCACACCCTGGAGTTTGCGGGACGAGCCTTTAAGGCCTGAAGCCACGCTAGACTTCGCCGGACCCTCCATCCGCTCCGGTGGAAACCCTCTGAGGGTAGTTTCATGGGCCCTTAAGAGGGTCCCTTGCCTCCTTCACAGGGTTCGCTTTTTTAAATAAGGTATATAAGGGGTACCCTTTTCAGGGCCCGTACTAAGGGACCATGTAACTACCTTAAGAAACCCTCAAAAGCCTCCATCGTCGATGTCAGGACAAGATGAACAAGGTGTCCGAAGTCACTGGCACCGGCCGCTCGGCATCAACGCGACCCCATGGGGCATCTTGCCGGCCACGCCTTCCCAAGGGTTTCGAGGGCAGGGTTGGTCCCTTTCATATGCGGGATCCCACCATGACAAGGTGCCTGTTGAGGAGACCCCAATGTGGAACAAGCTGCCCCCCTAAACCCTAAACGCTAAAACCCTAAACCCTAAACGCTAACCTCCCCCCCCCTCCCCCCAATGAAGCCGCGGCTCGCAAGTTTTGGTACATCCTAATCCCCATAATGGGGGGGGGGGGGCTTCCGAAGCTAGAGGTACCTTATTGGGGCCCTTGTTATATGGGGATCCTATTATTTGGGGATATTTTTTTTTTGGGGGGGGGGGGGGGGGGGGGGGGTTGCCACAGAGAGACTGTCCCCCTGGCATTCTCACCCCAGCTAATGGTCCCTTTGCAAAAATACTATAATAACACCCCACAACAGCCCTATTCTTATTATTCAGGCTCCTATCGTATTTTGGACCCCCCCAAGTGCAGCTGGTTTCCAAATGCGACGGTTTAGGGTTTAGGGTGTAGGGTTTAGGGTTTAGGGTTTAGGGTTTAGGGTTTAGGGTTTAGGGTTTAGGGTATCCGAAGCCAGACATGGTCCTGGGAAGTGAGAAAGGCATTTCGCCAGGGATCCTGGTCAGGGTTATTTAGGGTTCAGCATGTGCAATGATTCGGGCTAAAAAATGCACTGGGCCTTGAAGAAGCCTAAGGCCCAGACACGAATTGAGATCCCAGCTTCAGAGTGCATCCTCGAAGGATGTAAAAAAAGGGATGCCGCCAGTCCCATGTCTGTGCGTGTTCGGAAATATGGGATAATCAGGCCTGCTTTCTCGTTAAAAGGCCATGCGTGTTGAGGGTATATGTTGCAAGTTCAACCTCTCAACAACATGAGCCGCCGTCCTGCCTATGCCCGCCCCACACGTAGCATTCTCGCCATTTTTTGGGCACGCAGTAATGCAACCTTGCCAAAGGCGGTGGCGGCGGTGGCTGCGGTGGCTGTGCTGGCTGCGGCGGCTGTACTGGAAGCGGAGGCTGCGGCGGCTGTACTGGCTGCGGCGGCTGTACTGGCTGCGGCGGCTGTACTGGCTGCGGCGGCTGCGGCGGCTGTGGCGGCTGTGGCGGCTGCGGCGGCTGCGGCTTCGGCGGACCGTTTGGGGCCCAGTGTATGTATGGAAACTGTTTGGATTCCGGGGGGAGATAACAGAAGACGTTAATCAAGGGCGCAAAAACGCCAAGGCTCCTCACCTTATCTCCGAAAACGACATTACAACAGGCGTCGGTACTTGCTATTAACGCCGTTTCTTGTTTTTGTTGCCAGACGCAACCTCTTGGAAAGAATTGCTGTGTACGGCTGTGAGTGTGAGTGACACACAACGTGTGCAGTCAGGGCTTGGTGGACATGTGCAATCGATAGGTTGTTCTGAATTTGCTTCTTGCTAGGCCTCACCAGCTACAAATCGGCAGGGTTGAGGGCTTGGAGTTTTTTGGAGTTCAAGGCATTCATGCTAATGCAGGTACCGTCATGTGTGTGTGTGTGACTTTAGTCGCCCCAAGTCCTGCTAGAGTCACCAAGGTGCGGCGGCTGTAGCGGAGGCGCGTATTCTGGGCCCTTAAACCCTAAACCAATCTTGACTGCTACATCCTAACATCCCCAGCTGGAATGCTGTTGAAGTCTTGTTAACTGTTTAGGGTCCAGTTACGCCGACATTTTGTCTTCTTTAGGAGGCGGAGAGTTCATGCTCGAGCATGTGTTTGAACATATGCAGAAGGGATGAATTAAATCGCAGTCATCCAGCACCCCCCAGCTACCCTTTAACCATAAACCCTAAACCCTAAACCCTAAGCCCCTTTATGAAAGGGCAGTTGGGGTTCTGGGTAGGGTTGGGCTTATGGCTCATGGAACCCTGGGTGCCAAAAGAGCTCAAAGGTAACAACCACCCCCACTCCGACATCCCCACCCAAGCTTACTTGAATTCGGGTTTAGGGTTTAGGGTTTAGGGTGTAGGCAGATTACTCATCTGCACGGTGCTCATAACCCGAATTCCGGGAAACACGATACAAAACTCGTCGTAAGCTAGCAGGTGAACCTTCAAGCAGAGACGCCCGAATTCGAAGAGCTTGTGGATGTTCCCCTAAACCCTAAACCAGAGAGTCGAAACCCTATAAAACCCCCCCCCCCCCCCCACCCCCCGAATGACAAAAAGAATCTCAAACCCCAAGACACAAACTGCAGACTGGCGCTTAATTAAGGGACTCAGGAGGGTAAAGTTAGAAGCTGTAAAAAAATCTAAACTCAGGTTCCTGGAATCCTCGGATCCTATAAACCCCTCCTAACAGAAGTTCTGTCTGTTCCATCTGAGAGAAGTCCTTTATGTTCCATGGTTCTTGGTCCTTTTGCCGCATGGATCGCGTGGTCATTTCATCTTCTTTAGGGACCCCTCCAACCCTCACCCCACCCAAAACCAAGGCTGCGAAACCTAAACACCTCCCCGCAATTCAGAACCCAAAGCCCTAAACCCTGAACCTTGGGGTTTGGGGACCCTAAGGCCTTAAGTTGTCCTGCAGTGATGAAACTCAACGCCATCGGCTTCCCTAAACCCTAAACCCTAAACCCTAAACCCCCAACCCCAAACCCCAAACCCTTTCTTGTGCCAGGTTGCGGGATGGGGACTGGCTGCGCGATGGGAGGACTCCCCGCGGCCTTCCGACAAGGGTAGAGCCAGGCCAACCCCAAGACCCAAGAACCCCTAAAAAGCCTTTTACCCTGTAATCCTAGACGCCCTAGAACCCTCAACACCCTGTAACCTCAAAAAACCCAATCCTAAAAGCCGACAATCTCAAAACCGTATACTCCTAAAACCCTAACCCTGGATCCTACAAACCCTAACCTGGATCCTACAAACCCTAAACTTTAGCCCTGAGGGTTTAGGGTTAGGGGTTTAACTGCTAGGGCTCTTTTGAAGGGGTATAGGGAGGGACCCCAAGGAAGGGACCTTATTCTCCTACAAAACCAAAATATAACCCCTGTATATACCGTATATAGTCACTGTGTCCCTAAGTAGCCCCTAAATAACCCCAAAACAACCCCTAAGGTCCCTTTTTAGGGTCCCTCCTTTAGTCCCTTGATCTTTGGTGCTTTGGGATCCTTGGGTTCACGGTGTCCTCAGGGAAAGGGGGGGGTCCTCAGGGGTGGGAGGGAGGGTAAGTAGGTTTTGGGCTGAGAGTTGAGGGTTTAGGAATGAGGGTTGCCTGAGACATATCTTTGATTTCAGGGTTCAGGAGTTTTGGCGTGCGAAGTCGCTTGGAAAAGGAGTTTTGGGAGTCTGTCATGGGGTCGGGGTGTCGGCTTTAGGATACCCACATGAGAACATGTCATATAGTATATAGCGCATTTTTGTATGTATGTACATCTCAACATGCATAATAGAGTAAAAGACAGCTCCCCAACTCGGTCTTGTACCAAAGCCGCCGTGCGCTGTTGCAGGTACCGCTCCCGCTCCCGTCTCAGATGCGGGCCTTGGAGAAATTGAGGATGTAGGGTCTAGGGTTTACAGCCTTGGGAATTCCCATGAGCCTTCTTCAACTTAGTAAGGTATACTGATAAACCCAATGTCCTTAACCCTAAGCAGGTAAATGGAGTCCCAGGTAACCCCGAAGTCGTAGAAAGATCTCAATTTTTCGAGATGCCCCTGCATCTTGCACAGCGAATACTCTGCAACGTGGCAGCTCGCGCTGGGAGTTTTGTGAGACCCACTATATATACATACATACATACATATATATATATATATACTCAGATACATATAAAGCAAAGTTCACACACATGTATATAAACATGAATACGGGCATCTATCTATCTATCTCTCTCTATCTATGTATGTATGTATGTATGTATGTATACATACGTACCTCTATTTTGTTATGTTACTCTATCTTGCATATCATATCATGTTATCACGAAAGCTCCCCCCTGTGGGAGCTTTGTTCAATACCTCACGAAGTGAGCCTGGGGTTATCGGGGGGGGGGTGCGGGGGGGGGGGGGGGGGGGGTGGACCAATTTCGGTGGGATTTTTCGGCTATCCCCGGTCTGGTGCCGGGAAAACCATCGTTGCCAAGGGGGCCTGTTTTGAGCTAGATTTGGGGTTCTTTGGTAGGGGTTTTCCTGAGACGTTCTAAGGAGAAGCGGGGCCCCCCTGATGCTGCTGATGCTGGCCCGGGTGTGGTGCCAAGGGGGCCTGTTTTGGGCTAATAGCTGCGGTCAATCTGGAAGCACCTCTTCAGTTTGGGTGGGTCCTCCTCCCTATACTTCCTGTAACTTTGTGTTACTTTTGTACATGGTGCCTCACTTGAAGCACCGCTTCGCTTTAACCTTTGACTTTGCCACATGATTTGGGTCGGCGCTTTGATCTCTCGGCGCCTCTCTCTTCCTGCAAGCTCCGTGTCCCCAGTCCTGGACCTACTAGAGCTTTCGTCCCAGCCCGTGGCTCTCAAGTATATATGTATGTTTATATTCCTGTACGTATATATAGGTAGGGGGTCAGGTTCCCCTTGTAGACCTCATCTTGTACCCTACTTGAAGGTACATGGGTAGATTCAAGAAGGGTTATGAGTAACATAAATATGGCTTTAACCACTTATCATGATAGCTACCCTTTTTTGCCCATTTATTACTACCTCTGAACCTCCAAGTAGGTTTGGCAAAGCCTAAGCACATTGATTCTGTGGCTCTTCGGGGCCGCGGGGCGTGGTGAGCGACGTCCTGCGGAGTTGAGGGCTCGGGAATTTGAAAGATTTTGGTGTCGGGTTTAAGGTTTAAGGTTTAGGGTTTAGGGGTTAGGGCTCGAAGACCTTTCGAGCTCGAATGGTGGATAGGCTGCGGAGTTATTCCAAGGTTCGACAGTTCGATTAGGTCGAGTTCGCAGTTCGAAGTTTGAGAGTGGGGCCAATGTCAGCCGCTTTCCAAATCCGAACCTTCCAACTTTAAAAAACTTGCCGACATTCAAGGCTCATACTTTCAAAGGCTCAGACATTCCAGCTCGAGCGTTTCTTCTCAAACTCAATCTCCAAACTTTTTGCGAATCCGGGTTCGAAGAAAGTCAAAGTTTCAAAATTTGGAGTTCGACGGAGCTTCGAGATTGCGAGTTCGAGAGTTTGAGGTCTCTCGAATTCGAAAGTCCGTGGTCACGTTTGAAAGTTTGGAAGTTTCGAGTTTGGAGATTGGGGTCTTGCATGAGTCGGGGCGAGGTCGGCGTCGCGAGTTCGAAAGCTCCCTAAATCCTAAACCCTAAACCCTTAAGAATTTCAAAGCCCTTTCGAGTCTGGAAAGTTTGAGATTCTACGGGTCAAAGCTTGAGACAATTTAGTCTGAGTTCGAGAGCTTGAAGCGGGACGAGTTCGAAAGCTTGACCACTCCGAGTTTGAGAGTTTCGCAAGTTTGAGGCGTATGGAGTTCGAGAGTTCTCGAGATTTTGAAGCTGTAAAAGGCATCACTGTCGACGTCGAAGGCTAGAATTTCAATCCCGCGGGATCTTAAACTCAAACTTCGATGCTTGCAGCTTGAAGCTCCCTCCTGCTTGAAACATTAGGGTTTAGGGTTTAGGGTTTAGGGTTCTCAAGCTTTTGAACTCCAGGTCGTTTGTCTTTTCATTCTTTAAATTTTGAAACTCTCAAATTCCGAAGTTAGAACATGTATATTTGAAACGTCTCAAACTCGCGGTTTCTGGAGTTTACAGGGATGGATTGCTATTTGAGCTTTTTGGACACGGGGTATCTTGGGGAGATCTAATATCAAGGCTTGGCAGCTTACATGGTTTGAAGAGCAGCCACACATACACTCCCTCCACCTCTGGCTGATGCGATTCACAAATCTATGGAGGGACTCCTTGAAATCCCGAACCCAAAACGCTTTTGGGCCCAAAATTGCCAGTCGAGACAGCTGCCGCATGTTTCACGGGGGGGCGCCCCCCCTAGCCACTAGTCGCCATGAGGGAAGACCGCATCGAGAAAGGGAATGTTGCAAGCAGTGTGCAGGGTAAGTCGAGGTGATTGGGGCTTAAAGTGTAGGATTCCAGGTTATTTCGACGTAAGGGTCCGGAAGCAGGACAGGAGGCTTTCTGGCTCAAGCACGGATTTGTCGTAAGCCCTGCATACCAAAGAACCGGCATAGAATCCCTATCCCTTCTCTGGACAGCCAGCTGGAGACTCGCGTTATTTTGAGCAACAACTTCGAAGACTTAGATAGCACAATCCTCTTGAACCCTTGAGCCTAAAAGTGCGAGGTTCATGCAGACTTATAAGTGGGCCTATAAGCATGGTACCCATAAGTATAACTGGCTATAACCTTATTTGAAGCACGTATATCCCCACTTCTAACTGCTCTTGAACTCTTCAAGTGGGAGCTCTTCAAGTCAATTGAGGGATTCGAGCAGTTCAACTTCCGGCTGTCAACATTTCGTCTTGCCCCCAAGCCGAAACCCTAAGATGAGGCCCTAAGCCTTTTAAACCCCTTGGTAGCCCAGTGCTAACCTGTACCCTTTTTTTTTTGGGTTGTGGGTTCCCAATATAAAGTAGCCACCCCCAAAAAAAAGGGCGCCCTTATGATAATATGGGTTTACTGGGCTAGTAAGAGAACCCTACTTGGAGGTTCAGGGTTCAGGGTACCTATAACCCCAATATCAGCTGTACTCTAAGCCCCCTAAGTCCTCTAAGTAGGTTATAGACTTATACTTGGTTAACCTGTGCCCATGAACCTCCAAGCAGCTCACGCCAGGCCCAACACAAGGCAACAAGAACGGTCGAAGGTCGAAGTAAGCATAGTCCTAGAAGTCATCCATGATGCGCAATGTTTGTGTGAGGGTAGAGGTGTCTTAGCACGCAGGGTACACTCTGCTTGCTAACCCCTAGCAGTTTACATGTGGGGTTCACCCTAAACCCTAAACCCTAAACCCTGCGGAATTCTTGCTGAAGCTTTCTCCGTTGCACTCCCTCGAGGAGGGTGGGGCGAGCTGCTGGATACGGGCGGTGCCCTACTTCAAGCACAAGATGCCTGGCCTGAATTAGGGTTTAGGGTTTAGGGTTTAGGGTTTTGGGTTTAGGGTTTAGGGGAAACCTAGAACCCCAAGCCTCAATCCTAAATCATACTGAAGCTTTGGCATGTTCCCCCTGACACGAACAGTCCCTAATAGGGATTATAATTAGGGGGTACTCATATATCATATATCCCTATTCAGGACTGTTGGTATGAGGGGGAACATGCCAAGATATTACCCCAAACCCTAAACCCTAAATCCTAGGGTTTAAGATCCCAACTGAAGCACTTTGAATTCGGGCTAAGCTTTGATCGCAACCAATCCCGAACCCCTAAACCCTAAGCCCTAACACCTACCGGCCCTTCCAGGGACTAGCGGCTTAGGGCTGGGGATTTAGGGTTTGGGGTTTAGGGTAATTCTGGAGCTTTTGGTATGGGATTCTGGAGGGTTGAGGGTTTGGGGTTTAGGGTTTAGGGTTAGAAGACCTCAGGATTTAGGATGCAGGTTTTAAGGATTTGGGATAATTAGGCGCCGGCGGAGTTTTTGCAAGAACGCCCTGCCACAATACTTTCGATGTAGGCTGGCATGTTGAAGGTGTGGTCTTGGGGGCCTTATCCCCAGACCTTAAACCCAAAGTAAAAACCTATGCCCTAAACCCTAAACCCAAAACCCCAAACCCTGGCTGTGCGAGTGCGAGAGTCGAAGCCCTAAAGTAGGGGTGCCGGGGGCGACTACAAAGATCCTTTTATTCTAGGGTTCTTAAGGGAGGGGGGTTCAAGGGGCCTAGGGTTTATGGCAGTTTAGGGTGTAGGGTTTAGGGTTTAGGAGTCCGGATGCAAAAAGGGTTTAGGGTTTCGGGTTGATTGATATAGGGTTCTCTTAAGAACCCTGTAACTTTAGGAAGTCTAGGCTTCGGGTTTAGGGTTTTGCAGGGCCAGGGCTTCGTGTTTCGGGTTTAGGGTTCGCGGACCAAGGACGCAAGGTGACCCCATCTCCCTGAATGAGCAGGCGGGAGGATGTCTTAGAATTATTGCTGGGCGACAGGCTTAAGGTTTAGGTGTCTAGCTTGGTAGTAACCCTTTTTTCCCCTTCTTGCTTCTAGGTTCCCTTATAAAAAGTAGCCAACCCCAAACAGGGTACCCTTGATTGTAATATGGTTACGGGGCTACCATGGTAAGTCTGAAGCAGCAAAGGAAGCCAAACCCAAATCGCTCTTGGAAGGGATTGTTCAACCTCAGTGGTTGAAGTGTTATGGGCGGGGAAACAGAGGGTGTAACTTTCACAGGTGTCAAAGAGCAGTTGGTTGTTGGCCTTTGTTGCCTTGAGAGAGGGAGCGTGAGAGAGGCTCCTTAGATGGAGCCTACTTGAAGTTTCTTGCGTAGTTGGAAGCAGGTTTATATGTACGCCAAACGTGAGATAAACCAACCAACTATGACGCCAGTTCATTCCGATTTTTAACCTCCCACGCATCCTGCAAGTACCTGAGTCCGAGAAGTGCTCTAGGGACTA